AAATATTCTTTTCCTTCTTGGACTCCTTGACATGGGGTCCCTTTTACCACCACCCCCAACCACCACCACTGGACCCCCACGCCTGCTCCCCAGAAACCCTTATTCTACTTGCTGTCCAGTTGTGAGGATTTCAATCTTTACATTGTTTGCAATCCATGCTGAAGGATACAATAATTTATCTTGATCATCAGGTGCTTCAGATTCTTCTCACTTTCAGCGAGTCAGATTGTGTCAGCTGCATATCTCAGGCTGTTAATAGGCTTTCCTCAAATCTTGATGCTGCATTCGTCTTAATATAATACAGCTTCTCTGATTATTTGCTCAGTATACAGACTGAATATGTATGGTGAGAGGATACAACCCTGACACACACCTTTCCTGATTTTAAATCATGCAGTATGCCTTATTCTGTTGTCAGAACAGAACCTGTTGCTCCATGTGCAAGTTCTGAGCACAATGAAGTGTTCTGGAACCCCCACTTCTTCCCAAGGCAATCCATAGTTTGATATGATCAACACAGTTGAATATCTTTGCATAATTAATTAAACACAAGTAAACATCGTTATGTTTTTTCAGTCAAGTCCATCTGACATCAGCTATGATATCCCTTGTTCCAAATCCTCTTCTGAATCCTACCTGGAGCTCTGACAGCTCCCTATCAATGTACTGCTGCAATCAGTTTTGTATTATCTTTAGCAAAATTTTACTTGCATGTGATGCTAATAATATTATTCTATAGTCTGTGCATTTTTGTTGGGTCACTTTCTTAGAAATGGGTACAAATATAAATCTCTTTCAGTCAGCTGACTAAGTAGGTATCTTCCAAAATTCCTGGTATAGACAAGTAAGTGCTTCCAATGCTTCATCAGCTTGTTGAAACATTTCAGTTGCTATCCCATCAGTTCCTGGAGGCTTGTTTTAGGCGAATGCCTTCAGTGTAACTTGGACTTCTTTTAGTGCCATTGGTTCTTGTTCATTCATATGCTAACCCTTGAAATAGTGGAATGCCAACTACTTTTTGATACAGTGATTTTATGAATTTTTTCCATCTCCTTTTGAAGCTTCTTGTATCATTCAATATTTTTCCTATGGGATATTTCAATATTACAACTCAAGGCAAAAGCAACTAATTCTTTTCTTAGTTATTTCAGTTTACAATATGCTGAGCATGTTCTTCTTTTATGGTTTTCTAACCCTAGGTCTTTGCACATCTCTTTATAACATTTTACTTTATATTCTTGAGCTGCCCTATGAAATTTTCTACTGCATCATTTATTTTGTTGTTGTTTTTTTGAATAATGATTTACTGATAATATAACTAGTTAGTTATAAATACTATCTTTGATAACTAGTGTACAAAAATAAGAATACTAAGGTTGACAATTTCCGAAGACGAAAGAAATAATAAGTTATAAGGTGTATAAATCACTAATGTAGATGATTGCTTTCTTCTTTCTTTTTTTAATTTTAATTTTATTTTATTGGGGACTCTTACAGCTCTTATCATAATCCATACACATATCCATTTTATCAAACACATATGTACACATATGTTGTCATCATTTTTTTCAAAACATTTTCTTTCTACTTGAGCCCCTGGCATCAGCTCCTCAGGTTTTCCCCTTTCCTCCCCCATCCTCCCTCCCCTGTGCTCCCTTGATATTTATAAATTCTCTTTTTTTCATGTTTTACACTGACTGCTGTCTCATTTAACCCACTTTTCTGCTGTCTGCCCCCTGGGATGGGGGCCATATGTTGATCACTATGATCAGTTCCCCGTTTCTCCTCCCCCCTTACCCTCCTAGTATTGCTGCTTGCCTTATTGGTCCTAAGGGATTTATCTATTCTGGATTCCTTGTGCTGAGAGCTCTTATCTGTACTAGTATAGATGTTCTGGTCTAGCCAGATTTGTAAGACAGAATTAGGGTCATGGTAGTGGCTACAGGGGGAGGAGGGGTGTGCATTGAAGAACTGGAGGAAGGATATGTGTTTCATCGGTGCTACACTGCACCCTGACTGGCTCTTCTCTTCCTTGTGGCCATTCTGACAAGGGTTGTCCAATTGACTACTGATGGACTTTGGGTATCCACTCTGCCCTCCGCCTCATTCCCATTGATAACTGCATCATTTCTTCCATTTGCTTTAGGTACTCTATGTTTGTTTGTTTTATAATCAGTTTATTGGGAGCTCATACAATTCTTATCACAATCCATCCATCCATACATTGTGTCAAGCACATTTGTACATTTGTTGCCATCATCATTCTCAAAACATTTGCTTTCTACTTGAACCCTTGGTATCAACTCATTTCCCCCTGCCTCCCTGCTCCACTCCCTCATGAACCCTTGATAATTTATAAATTATTATTATTTTGTCATACCTTACACTGTCCGACGTATCCCTTCACCCAGTTTTCTGTTGTCCATCCCCCAGGGAGGAGGTTATATGTAGATCCTTGTAATCGGTTCCCCCTTTCTACCCCAACTTCCCTCCATCCCCCAGGTACTCTATGTTTCAGAACAAGTTTCAGAGTCTCTTCTGACATTCACGTTTGTCTTTTCTTTCCTTACTGTCTTTTAAATGATCTTTTGCCCTCTCCGTGCATGATATTCTTGATGATGTTTAAAACAAGCCTATGTGAGTTAAAATGTGATCTTGAATATATTTCACCTGAATTTCGGAAACATCTCAAGAACACTACTGCATTGAACACTAATGACAGAAGACCTGAAGAGCTGTAGGAAGACATCATACACAAAGAGGGCAAAGAGGGTTTTTAAAAATCATTTTATTAGGGGCTCATACAACTCTTATCACAATTCATACATACCTCAATTGTGTAAACCACAATTGTACATTCATTGCCCTCATCATTCTCAGAACATTTGCTCTCCACCTAAGCCCCTGGCATCAGCTCCTTAATTTCCCCCTCCTTCCCTGCTCCCCCCTCCCTCATGCACCCTTGATAATTTATAAATTTTTATTTCGTCATATCATGCACTGTCCAATGTCTCTCTTCAGAAGGCAAAGAGTTTAAGAAGAAATAAAATGTATTGAAAATGATGATGACAGCAATTGTACAATTATGCTTAATCTATTGGAACTATGGGTTGTAATAATATCTATAAGAGCTCCTTTATATATTATTAATATTGCCATTCATTACACCATCCAATGTATCCTTTAACATACAATTCTGTTGTTCATTATCCTCGAATGGGGATATACATTCATCATTGCTGTCAGTTCCATCTTTCCCCCTTACCCCCTCCTCCCCATCTCTTCCCATGCCCTCAGGGAATTGCTACTTCCATTACTGTTTCTGTGAGGTTAATCTATCTTGGATTTCTTGTATCATAAGATCTCGACTGAACAAGTGTACATACACAGGTCTAGTAGGATTATTGAGGCAAAAATAAGGCCATAATAGTGTGTGTGTGTGGGGGTTGTGTAATTAAAGAGCTAGAGCTGTGTTTCTCAATCTTCCTAATTCTGCAACTCTTTAATACAGTTCCTCATGGTGTGGTGACCCCCAACTATAAAATTATTTTCATTGCTACTTCATAACTGTGATTTTGCTACTGTTATGAACCAGGCAACCCCTGCGAAATGGTCGTTCGACCCCAAAGGGGTCGTGACCCACAGGTTGAGACCTACTGAGCTAGAGGATAGCGATGTGTTTCATCAGTGCTGTACTGTATCCTGGTTACATCATCCTTCCATGTGGCCCTTCTGTGAGGCACTGTCCAATTATCTTACAGGTGGGTTTTGGGTGTCCACTTTGTCCACACTCCTTCGCATCAATTTGATTGCTTGTTTTTGAACTTCTAATACCTGTTCCCATTGACATCATGATCACACAGGCTAGTGTGCTTCTTCCATCTGGACTTTATTGTTTCCTTGTTATATGGTCGCTTGTGTAACGTCAAGCCTTTAAGATCCAGGCACTATATCTTTTAAATAGCTGGGCACCATCAGCTTTCTTCACCACATTATCTTATGCACACATTTTGTCTCCAGAGATCGTGTTGGGAAGGTATATACCTTGCCACAATATTAGGATACATCGTTCTGTACTGAGGTAAGATTTAAGTAGAGGCCCAAAGTCCATCTGCTTCCTTATTGTATATATGTATACTGACAAATATGCCCATCTTCACATATTTATATTTAAATACATATATCTATATTTATACCTATACATAGTGTTTACTTCCTAGTTCTTTCCTCTATTTTCTTTTTTTCCCCTTCCTGCCCTACAACCATGTTCACCCATCATTCACCTCTCAGAAGTTTCTTTTGGATACATTACAGTTGGTCAAACTTCACCAGGAATGCTACCCTCTCCTCACCGTTGATTTTAGCTCCCTTGCTATTCCACTGTCCCTGACGTTATTGGCTCACTGCTTCCCTCTCACTGCCTCCTCTTCTCCCATGTCTTGTTTTAATTTTTTTCACCTTAAACCTGAACTTTAAACTTTCTTATGAACACTAATAGTCTTGCACAGCTGGCCTCTGGCTTCATTTTAGCTGCGGACGGATCTTTCTACTCCTATAAACAGTTACAATCTTAGAAACTTACAGGGGAAGTTCTACCTTGTCCTATAGGATTGTTAGGAATGTGCATCGACTGAAGGGCAGTGAGTTTTGAAATTGTATTGAGCTTCTCCATCATCTTTTCCCACAGATGTAGTCAATTTGATTTCTGTGTATTCCATCTGGAGAAGTCCCCATGTATAATCGCGATTTGTGTTGTGGACAAAAGGTATTTGCCATGAACATGTTGTTGGTCTTGTAAAATTCTGTCATGCAATCTCCAGCTTTATTTCTATCACCAAGGATATATTTTCCAATTGCTATTCCTTCCTATTTGTTTCCAATTGCAATAATTATCAATGCATCTTGATTACATGTTTGATCGATTTCAGACTGAAGACACAGTTTCTACGTTATTAGCTTTAGTGGTTAGTTCATAAATTTGAATAATAGTTGTATTTACTGGATTTCCTCCAATGCAGATAGATATTATTCAATTACAGACAGCATTGTACTTGGAGATAGATTTTAAAATGTCCTTCTTTTAATTAGCAATAATCGTGCCTCAGGTAAACCTCACTGGCTATGATATTGCCATTGCACAAAGCTAAAATGTCCTTCTTGAAGATGTATATGATGCTATTCTTCCTGAAACTGTCATTCCCTGCCTAATAAACCATATGATTTTCTAATTCAATATGCATTTCATATAATTTTTTACAACTTCCAACTCTCCTAAATTAATACTACATATATTCCATGTTCTGTTTATTAATTGATGTTTGCAGTTGTTTCTTCTCATTTTGAGTCATGCCCCATCAGCAAATTAAGATCCCACATGCTTTACTCCATCCATGTGGTTATGTTTGACTCTACTTTGAGAAAACAGCTGTTCCTCAGTCATATTCTGAGTGCCCTCCAACCTGAGGGCCTCACCTTCTGTCTCTGTCTCCAACAATGTTCTGCATCTGTTCATGAGACATTCAGTAACTGACAATATTTCAATTCTATCCACAAAGTTTTCAGTGACTAATTACTCTGAAATGGACAACTTGTTCCTTTTTCATAGATGGGAAAAGGAATTCTGCTGAAAGCTGTTCACTGTGGATGACCCTGCTGGCCTTTGAAATACCAATGACAGCAATACGCATGCCACAGTAGGACAAACTGACTGACAAAATAGATATATATCTCTACACACATTTCCTATTCCATTAACTTGGCTTTACAATCTTTTCTATGTTAATTTATTTGAGGGTGCTGTCTTTCCTGTTCCCCTTCCATCTTTATAAGCCCTCTCTATTTGGAAGCATGTGCCATCTGCGTCTTTCTTCTCCCAAGATTCTGGCCTTTAATTGCTTCTCTGACATCATCTCTCACCACTGTCTTCTAGTTAGTGACACTAGCTACATTGTCCTTCTTTTTGTCCCATCTTCTTTCTACCTCTTGCCTGTGCCAGTCTCATTTCCATGTTTAGGTCTTCAATCTTTTTCTTCCTTCTGTTTGGAATTCTCTTTTCCAAGATCTTCTCCTGGCTAATTTCTTCTCATTATACTAATGTCAACTTAGATGTCACCTCCTCAAAGAAGCATTTCCTGGACCCCTGTTTAAATCAATGGCCCCTTCCCCTTGTTAAAGGGCCATTAGATTGGCTATTTTTCATTTTATAGTATTTATTCAAAAGTAGCTGAGATGATCTTTTTTATTGATTTGTGGATTTAATTTCTGATTCCCTCCACTAGGATATAATATCTTTGAGGATAGAGACCTAATCGTTCTTATTCACTGGTATACCTCCATCACCTAGTACTTGAGATATAGAAGGGAATTGATACCTAATTGTTGACTCATAGATTATTTTTCTGGATATTCTTCCTAATTCCTGGTAAATTTTAGACTTTCATCCCTTGCTTATCACTTGTCTCATTCTTTTCCCTATAGGTAGGACCTCAACATTGCTGTATGTAGACTATTCAACAGGGTTCTCACATTTGACATCTTTATACCACCTGGCCAGAGAACCCCTGGGGGTCCTGTCATCACCTTTACTCAGTTATGATATCACTAAAATCTCCGTTTCAAACATCTTTGAATTCCAAGCTGAACACTACTCTGGCACCCGCATCCCAATGGTTCTCCCATTTCAGCAACATCTTCAGTTTATTGACCCTACCATTCCATTGACCCCACCCCATTGCTCATTACTCCTTCTGATGGCCTCTTTTTCGTTTGTCCAAAATATATTTCTTGGTTCATTTTTTTATGCTTATTCTCTTTCAATTGTTTGAAATTCTATTTTCCACTTCTTTAACCATTGTGTTTGCCTGAAAAGTCTCTCAAAACATACACTTCCAGCTTTATGTCGTCCTTGAGGAAGAGCTAGTGCAGGGAAATTATCTTCTCTTCCATTCAATAAATGCACAGACACACTTGAATCTTCACCTTCACTTACTTTCTGTCTTCATTTCTGTTAGGGTATTAAAATAACAATGTTCCTATACAGGGACAATCCCCTTCCTTATTATCTATACCTCATCCCCTGTTACCATCTCAGGGCCTTTGCTCCTGTAGGTATTTCCTTTCCTGCACTGCTCATTTTTTTAGAATTATTTTATT